TCCTTCCTTCCTTCCTTCCTTCCTTCCTTCCTTCCTTCCTTCCTCCCTCCCTCCCTCCCTCCCTCCCTCTTTCCCCTCCCTTCCACTTACAGCATCGGCTTCTGCCTTTTCTCTGGAAACTCTTCCTCCAGCCACCGTAGATTCCAGGGCATTCACCCAACGCTGCTTATCTGGGAAAGTGGGCGCCAGCAAATAGAGAGTCCGGCCAGGCCAACAGGTGGTGTGGGGATGAGATTCCAGCTTCAATATATATGGCACGTCTAGGCGACCAGCACGCAGAACACACAAGAGACAAACTGCATTAGGGAAGAGCCAGCCTTCTTTTGCTGGCTCCTTTCTCTGCTTGTAGAGCAGAAGCAGACCAAACAAGAGGCTGAAAGGTTTAACGTTAAAAAGTTTAACCCGAGTAGACAAACATCAGTATTAATTGCCCCACCCAGAGCACCAAGGACCCCACAGTCCTCCTCCTCCTCCTCCTGGCACTGATGATGTTACCTAGTTGGGTAACGACAGTTCTGCAAGAAATGAACCAAGCTCAGAGAGCACCAGAAACTCTACAGCTCAACCCTGATCGACAAATATTCTCTTGGAATGCTTGGTGCTGAGTTTGGCTGTTTTGCGGGCAAGACCGTTGTTTGGGAGCAAACCCCACCCTCTCTTGCACTGATGATGTGACCTAGTTGGGTGATGAAAATGTCTGCAAGAAAACCACCAGCATCAAGGGAAACCCCCCGGTTCAACTCTGAGCTACAAATAATCTGACTCACGGGTACCCCCTTGTTCTTTTATAGTCATGTGAATTACTGGGGTGTCTGAAATGGTTTTATTATCCCCAGTGTCTTTCTTTCAGAATTAACAGAGTTGGAAGGGACCTTGGAGGTCTTCTAGTCCAACCCCCTGCTTAGGTAGGAAATACTCCACCACTTCAGACAAATGGTTATCCAATCTCTTCTTAAAAGCCTCCAGTGTTGGAGCAGCCAGAACTTCTGGAGGCAAGTCGTTCCACTGATGAATTGTTCTCACAGTCAGGAAATGTCTCCTTAGTTCTAGGTTTGCTTCTCTCCTGGATTAGTTTCCACCTGTTGCTTCTTATTCCAAGTGCTTTGGAGAATAGGTTGAACCTCCCCCTTTCTCTGTGGCAGCCCCTGAAATATTGGAAGACGGCTATCCTGTCCCCCCTTAGTCCGTCTCTTCATACCCGATTCCATCAACCTTTTATCACATCTTTTAGCCTCCAGTCTCCCAATCATCTTGGTTCTCTGCACTCTTTCTAGAGTCTCAACCTCTTTGGGACACAGACGTTCCCTTCCTCCATCAAGATCATCATCATCTTCCTTTAATGACCCCATCACCCTTTGCGGGGTGGAGTCTGGGACACTGAATGGAGCTAGCAGAGTGTTTTAATGGCCAGATGCCCTCCCTGTTGCCAGTACGCAGTTTTGCTCTGCAGATATATTCTCAGTGTGCCCAGAGAGAGAAATTATCAGCCTCTACCTAGAATCGAACTCACAGCCTGTGAGGCGAGAGCTCCGCCTCTGGGCCACCGCACCAATCCCTCCTCTCCATCAAGATCCTCCTCTCCATTGAATCCACGCTTTTGAAGTCCCTCTTAGGTGATCAATTAGCAGGACAATAGGAGAAGGGATCATGAAAGAGAAACAATACCAGAAAGACATTTATCTTTTGCAAGAAAGATGTAAATCTAAGTTAAGAGTGTTTTACAATGCAGTTACTCTACTTGTAAGGATTTTAAAGGTATAAGAAGACCCTACTTGCCGTATATGCTTTGTAACTTTCCTCACATATCTATCTTGTGTGTATGCGAGGAAAGGTGTTACCCTAACCTTATTTGATCAATTAAAGTTAGATTTTGTTCTTCAAAGCTTCTGCTTAAGTTCATTTTCTGGCACATCGTGATCTTAAGTTACAGCCGAACTTTACATTTTGGCGCCCAACTTTTCAGACCATCCTTCCAAAGGGGAGCACCGCCTTCCTGTCCTCAAGGCAGCTTCCGCAGCCCTGGATTTTCCATCCAGCCTTACCTGTCTTGGCTGTACTTAGAAGCTCGGTCGCTCCCACGGCCCCGTGGACAGTAACGTCTCCATCTGGAAGGCACAATTCAAACTCTTCCACGGGCCGTTGTCCAGCTTTGAAAAATGATAAAAAGGGGAGAAATGAAAGGGCAAAGGAAGCGTAATGAGGAGAGGGTCTTCACCGGTTAAAAGGCTTCAATCTTCAGGTCGCTCGGGGGGGGGGGAGGAAAGGAGGCGGAGGATTAAAACTCAGGCGTGGCATCGCCACAGGAAACGAGCCTGCCGATTGCTCAGTGAAGGAAATTAGCAACAGCAGCAAAGCTACCCTGCAAGGCAAGCTAGCTTGAAATGGCCCAAGCGTCAGGTGGTCCTCGACTTAGGATGGCAATCGAGCCCAACATTTCTGTTGTTAAGGGGGAAATTTGTTAAGTGCGTCTCGCTCCGTTTTGTGACTTCTTCTTTGGCCACATTTGTTAAGGGAATCGCTGCCGTTGTTTCAGTTAGTAACCCGGTTGTTAAGCAAATCTGGCTTTCCCGTGGACTCGGCTTGTCAGCAGGTCGCAAAATCTGAATGTGTGACTTCAGGGTAGAATGGGACAAGTCAACGCCGCACGGCCAACTCGCCATTGGACAACTCGCCGCAGGACAATTCAACAGCTCAATTTAATTACTTCAAAATAGTTATGTCAGGATGCCAGCAATCACTTTAATTAAAATCATGATTCTCGAGCCAAACTTCAAAAAGCTTCAAAGGATTTATTAGAGGCAACCTACTGGCACTGCCCTGTAGGAAGCCAACTCTGGCCTACGTCATTTACAGTCCCCTGTGACCCTGTTTCCTCCCTTCTCCCCTGGGTGGTGTCATAAATCAAGATTCCCCAACTGAACACCTTCATGGGCTGGGTGTCATCAATCACGTTCTCCAATTAAATATTTTCATGGGCAAAAACTCTGGTATTTTAGTTACAATCTTTTAAAGATAAAGAGTTGGAATGTTCTTTCGCTTCCAAACTGCTGCACTGCTCTTCCAGATTTCCTCTCCCCCCCCACTTTTTTTAATGGCAACTATTAAAACAGGCACAGGAATGTTTCATGAGTTGACAAGTTAAAAGACATTTAACCTTTTTGCCATTCACATTTCATTCTGTCCCTCTCCTTTCGCACCCTTTCATTATTGTATTCCACTGTTTCTGGGATATTATTGTAACTCTTGTCCTATGGCGGGTTGGCTGTGAGGAGTTGGCTGATGTCACCAACCCGATCCGTCATAAATATGAGTCATTGGCCAATGACTGAACTTGGATCCCGTGGCCACGGGGAGGCTGCAATTGTGAAAAACGGCCATAAGTCACTTTGTTTCAGTAGTGCCGTTGTAACTTCAGACACCCATGGTTGTAAGCCGAGGAACTTTAAGTTGTATGTCATCCATGCTCTGCCTTTTGGATGCAACAAAAACCAGCAAGTTATGGCATCCACAATGCCCCCAGAGGGGTTTTTCTCTCCCCCCCCACCCCCCACCAAGCTGAAGGAATTCAAATTGAGGGAGTAGACAGTGTATCCCTTGGTGACTAAGTGCAAATTAAAGCAAAAATAATGCAACTAATAAATGGAAGCAAAATAGTGCAAAATAAAAACAGACAAAGATCCACATACAAATACCCGCGAGAACCTCAGAAAACACACACACACACACACACACACACACACATATATATATATATATATATATATATATAT